TGGGAAGTTGAGGCTTATTAAGGCCCCCATATTAGCCCTGAGACCCCAGTCAGGGGGAGATTTCAGTCAATGCTGAGTTGACCTGGAGGTCGTCGTCCCTTATGGTGAGACCTGTGCCTTGGCGTCAGGGCACGTGGAGTTAGTATACTACCAGTTATTCTACTGGTCTAGGGCTTAGGGTTCGGGTTTAGGGTATATTGTATTACATTGTTTTTTCTGAACAAGGGGAGGAGAAACACTAGTAGTCTAGTGAATCTAGTGTAGGTACAGGTGTTTTGGGTTTGGGGGGTTGAGGTTGAATTGTTGTTCTTGGGGTGGGGGGGGGGTAGTGGTGCAGCCTCCACCCCAGCTGCCTTCGGGGTTTAGGCTTGTAGTGCTTTTGGGGCGTCGGCAAAAGGGTGATGGAAGTAAGAGCTTTAGGGCTTCTTGGATGTGAAGCCCTGAACTATGGGCTGATTTCTTGCACATTCATGCTATAAATACCCCTGAAATGTCTTGAGAGCAGTGTTAAAGGCGCGAAAGTGTCTGTCCTTAAGTTCAGGGCTGCACCCCGACAGCTTCATGCTTGAAGCGTGGTCCCTAAGCCCGACATCCCGAATCATGGAGCTCAAAAGCGCTCTGAACCTTAAACCCTGAATCCTAAACCGAAGCTGAACCCAACGGCTCCAATCCGCAGCCCGCCAAGCCGACCGGTTCTCAGAGTTTAGGGTCTAGGGTGGCTGATGAAATGCTTGGGGTAAGAAGGTTGAGCGGTAAGGATGTATGGTGTGCAACTTAGGATATTTTTTTTTTTGCAAACGGGCTTTCAGGATTTGGTATTTTTCAAATTTTGGGCTGCAGGGTTTGGGGCTTAGAGGGCTCCATACGATCTGCTACCGACAGCAACTACTGTGCACTAGCAAGTGTGTAATATAGGGGCGATAACAATTACCTGTACTTGTTGAGGGGTTCCTTACTTGATAGTTACCTATACTAGTTTGGGGGGCTCCTTATATTTATAGTATATTGAGCCCCAAAACCCTGTTCTAATCACCAAGGCCCCTAAACCCTAAACCCTTACAGTAGCCTTTTTTCGAACCCTTCAAGGAACCCTTTAAAGGAACCCCAAAACCCTATTCTAATGATTACTTGGAGGTTCATGGGTAGTTATAAGCAGGGTTATAAATCCCCTAATATGGGTTATAACTATAGCTACCCTACTTATAACCCCACTACCCATGAACCTCCAAGTAAGACAACCCGAAACCCTAAACCCTAAACCCTAAACCCTAAACCCCCTACAGTAAACCTTGCTGTCGGAACCTGAACCCTAAGACTCCCCAAGCGTCCAAGCACCCAGCAAGTAGACACCTAGGAGTTTCTGAACATCATGGGTACCTACCTATAGATCATATTTATATCCTTTTATATCATATTATATTATGTCATAGTATATATTATATTATATTATATTATATTATATTATATTATATTATATTATATTATACTGTGTTAGGGTATATTATTTTATTGTATTCTTATTATAATAAGATCCTACCATTTAGGGTGCTATATTAGGGTCCCCTACTTTCGGAAACCCCCACTTGAGTTCATGGCACTAGTGGCTGCAGGATTCAGGGTTTACATAGATGCATTGAGGGTCGTAGTAGTGGTCCTGGTACTTCTGTGAGTATACGTTTGTTATTAGTCGGCAACGTAGATCCCTTGTTCTCAAGCCCCGATCCCTTAAAAGAGATTAGATTAGGGTTTAGGGATTAGGGTTTATGAATCAGGGGTCTACTTTGCTTTGGACCGCCTGAACCCTTTAACAATCCTATACAGTAAACCCTAAACCCCAAGTCCTAAATCCTAAACCCTAAACCTAAACCCTAATCCTAANNNCCCTAAACCCTTAAACCCTACCTGAATCCTGAAGCAAGCCTCTCAGGCTCCAGCTGGTGCGCGAAGCAGGTGTCTTGCTCGGTGTGGCAGGAGACCTTGGGACCTATAGGGCTCCTTAAAGCTGAAATCCGCCATACCCTACACCCTAAACCCCTAA